TGGGAGTCCCAGGGGAGGTGTACTCTGACCCCAGCTGACGTTGTTGTTCCTTTAGATTCAGCTACTCGGAATAAAAGGTGCAAGTAGCACAGGCTATGGTGAGCCCGTAGTGAATATGGCACAGGAGTGGGGCTGTAACTGCTCCTCCCAGCTGACAGCCAGGGAATCTACCAAAGGATGGTTTTACAACGAAACATATCAGGGAACAGCCATGTCAACACCCACTTAACATCAAGCAAGCTTCTGAATTCCTTGCCTTAGCAAGCTCCAAATTGGAACCTTACTTTACTAAGGTTCCAATTTGTAAACTAACCTTGCCCGGGTTCACCCAACTCTCAGTTGCAGGAGAGAAAGAGCAATATCACAGCACATACAGCCCCGCTCCTGTGCCAGGTAAGTTGCGGGCTCACCATAGCCCGTGCTACTTGGCACTTGTTCCGAGTAGCTGAATCTGTAACAGCAGCAGCACCATAGCCCGTGCTACTTGCCCTGCTCCTGTGCTAGGTAAGTCCACTACGGGCTATCCCGGTGAAGTCAACCCCGGGAGCCTCTCACTGTCGCGGTAACCAACCACCCATGACAGGTTTTGTTGCAATTATCGTGGGAAGTTTTTGCTCCCATTAACCTATCCTACACGTTCTTCCCAATAATTAACTTTTATTCGACACAAAAAGCAATTCGAGAGATTATTTTCACACTGAATCATGTAGTAATTATCTACCCACGCGAGCGGTTATTTTCAGCGGTGTAAACACGTTACAGCTTTGTTTATTCGGAGGGGCGGGGAGAGGGCCGCCCCCTACACCCGGGAGGAGGGGCGGGGGGAGGGCCGCCCCCTACACCCGGGAGGCGGGGCGGGGGGAGGGCCGCCCCCTACACCCGGGAGGAGGGGCGGGGAGAGGGCCGCCCCCTACACCCGGGAGGAGGGCCGCCCCCTACACCCGGGAGGAGGGGCGGGGGGAGGGCCGCCCCCTACACCCGGGAGGAGGGGCGGGGGGAGGGCCGCCCCCTACACCCGGGAGGAGGGGCGGGGGGAGGGCCGCCCCCTACACCCGGGAGGAGGGGCGGGGAGAGGGCCGCCCCCTACACCCGGGAGGAGGGCCGCCCCCTACACCCGGGAGGAGGGGCGGGGGGAGGGCCGCCCCCTACACCCGGGAGGAGGGGCGGGGGGAGGGCCGCCCCCTACACCCGGGAGGAAAGGCGGGGGAGGGCCGCCCCCTACACCCGGGAGGAGGGGCGGGGGGAGGGCCGCCCCCTACACCCGGGAGGAGGGGCGGGGGGAGGGCCGCCCCCTACACCCGGGAGGAAAGCGGGAGGAGGGCCGCCCCCTACACCCGGGAGGAGGGGCGGGGGGAGGGCCGCCCCCTACACCCGGGAGGAGGGGCGGGGGGAGGGCCGCCCCCTACACCCGGGAGGAAAGGCGGGGGGAGGGCCGCCCCCGCTTTACTAAAACTAATCACCATTCTGAAAATACAATTATACCCACACCTATCTGTCGAACCTATCCTTTTCCAGGCCCCGCTCCTGTGCCAGGTAAGTCCACTACGGGTTCACCATAGCCCGTGCTACTTGCAACTTATTCCTAGTAGCTGAATTTATAACAACAACAACAATCCTTTTTTTAATTTTGCCTCGGTGGGCGAATAAAATGATGAGCATCACTCATCCAGTGAGTGTTGCATATCGCCATTGGTTTAAAACCTGTTGAGTTGTCCATCCTGTCAATTTTCCCAGATACAGCTGCGACTCTGATGTTTTCACGTCGTCAGACTTTAACAACCTTTACCAAACTCTATGACATAAAAAAAATTTTATTCCTTGTGGGTGCAAAGTGGAGAAAGCTATTAAAGAGCCATATCAAATCCAAAAAAAAAATTATTCATAATTGTCTGTACAAATATAATCGCGATTACACACAATTTCAAAACATTATTTACCTGTCATGATAACACATTAACGTGATTATAATTCTGTACAGTATATGTGAGTATTTTGCAAACTCTGTGTAGGATTTAGTACACAGATGTGTACCAGATTTGTACACTACATGCATGTGTAATGTCTCCAAGATGACACATTCTCTCAGGTAATGGGTCCAGGTGGTGTCCCCCCCCCACACACACACACTACATACTCCAGCTGCTCAGCTTTAGTTTCCATACTGACTCTCCCTGGATACTTTTATCCTAGACGAATTATTGCCATTCCATGTATTCTCCCTCGAGTAACAAACTTTGTACTATTCACTACTGTTGGAGCAAGTTGTCACAAGGCGAGCCTGGGCATTCCTGGAGAAGGTTTCAGGAGCAGTTCTACTCCCCAAGCCCGGCCCGAGGCCAGGCTTGACTTGTGAGAGTTTGGTCCACCAGGCTGTTGCTTGGAGCGGCCCGCAGGCCCACATACCCACCTTGGCGCAGTTTGGTCCATCAACCACGATGTTAGACACAGCTGCTCGTAGCATGATATATGAATCACAGTCCGGTTGATCAAGAATGCCTTGGAGGCGTTATTAAGTTCCAAATTAAACACCGTGAAAGGTCGGCAAAGTTATGCCTCTCTGAATGTCTTTCACAACACTGATGGGGAACCTGTGTTTCCTGTGTATTAACCATCACAGTTACAACAGTAGTGAGTATTACATGAACAAATCAACAAGGGCGTGACGAGGGATCGAACCTACGTCCGGGAGCATCCCAGACACTGCCTTAATGGACTGAGCTACGACAGGGTTCGAATCCTCGTCACGGCCCTTGTGGATTTGTTCATTTGATGCATCACGCTATTGTGATTTCCGTGTGTAATGTAGTCAAGTATTGAGTATTGTCACAATTGCTCCCATTATTCGGGTATTGGCTTTACGCAGACATCGATCACGATGTCCATTCAGGAGTGTCATACATGTCTCATATGTATATTGTAGAATACAACTGTATAATAATATGTAACATGACATTCTATGCTCATTGTTGCATTGTTTATTCACTGAGCCAATGTGTGGTTCATCACACATTGTTTAACCATCGACATGATAGTTCCACCATCACGTTACGGGGGCTATTCATGCCCGTGCCACCTCTTGGGTGGCTCAATCTTCATCAATCTTGACCATCACGCCGCCACCTGGAGGCCAGCTATCGAGGTCTGCCAGGAACCAGCCAGTGTAGTCAGTCAGGTGAGACGCTCTGCTGGGGTACCATCCTGGCCAGTTGCCACAGCGGCTCATTACTGTGGTGTTAGGTAGTGTATCTTGTAATGCTTTACCTTAACATACTAGTGTTGCTAGTGTCCGGATCATCGAATTGAGATTAGTGTTCATGTTATCTCGTCTTCCTATAACCATTCCCCACTTTACCATCCCCTCGTCCTCCTAACCATTCCCCACTTTACCATCCCCTCGTCCTCCTAACCATTCCCCACTTTACCATCCCCTCGTCCTCCTAACCATTCCCCACTTTACCATCCCCTCGTCCTCCTAACCATTCCCCACTTTACCATCCCCTCGTCCTCCCCACTATCTCCCAATCCCCTCGTCCTCCCCACTATTTCCCACTCCCTCGTCCTCCCCACTATCTCCCAATCCCCTCGTCCTCCCCACTATTTCCCACTCCCTCGTCCTCCCCACTATCTCCCACTCCCTCGTCCTCCCCACTATCTCCCACTCCCTCGTCCTCCCCACTATCTCCCACTCCCTCGTCCTCCCCACTATCTCCCACTCCCTCGTCCTCCCCACTATTTCCCACTCCCTCGTCCTCCCCACTATCTCCCAATCCCCTCGTCCTCCCCACTATCTCCCAATCCCTCGTCCTCCCCACTATCTCCCAATCCCCTCGTCCTCCCCACTATCTCCCAATCCCTCGTCCTCCCCACTATCTCCCAATCCCCTCGTCCTCCCCACTATCTCTCAATCCCTCGTCCTCCCCACTATCTCCCAATCCCCTCGTCCTCCCCACTATCTCCCAATCCCTCGTCCTCCCCACTATCTCCCAATCCCCTCGTCCTCCCCACTATCTCCCAATCCCTCGTCCTCCCCACTATCTCCCAATCCCCTCGTCCTCCCCACTATCTCCCAATCCCTCGTCCTCCCCACTATCTCCCAATCCCCTCGTCCTCCCCACTATCTCCCAATCCCCTCGTCCTCCCCACTATTTCCCACTCCCTCGTCCTCCCCACTATCTCCCAATCCCCTCGTCCTCCCCACTATCTCCCAATCCCCTCGTCCTCCCCACTATCTCCCAATCCCTCGTCCTCCCCACTATCTCCCAATCCCCTCGTCCTCCCCACTATCTCCCAATCCCCTCGTCCTCCCCACTATTTCCCAATCCCTCGTCCTCCCCACTATCTCCCAATCCCCTCGTCCTCCCCACTATCTCCCAATCCCCTCGTCCTCCTCACTATCTCCCAATCCCCTCGTCCTCCCCACTATCTCCCAATCCCCTCGTCCTCCCCACTATCTCCCAATCCCCTCGTCCTCCCCACTATCTCCCAATCCCCTCGTCCTCCCCACTATCTCCCAATCCCCTCGTCCTCCCCACTATCTCCCAATCCCCTCGTCCTCCCCACTATCTCCCAATCCCCTCGTCCTCCCCACTATCTCCTACTCCCTCGTCCTCCCTACCATTCCCCTTTCCTCGTCCTTATTATTTTGTTATTATAACTGGACTTTTGTATTGCAGGTGTTAAAACTTAAATTTTTAACCTTGACTTTACTCCTGTTTCCCCATATTCACGTTGACGTTTTAATGTGACCTGTTTTTATGCCCCGTACAGCATACCATGAGCTGGGTATAACTGCAATATACCACCTAACAGTATATAGCCAGAGGTGTGGGCAGGGCAGAGTTTCTTTAAACCCTGATGCCCCTATTACCTAGCAGTAAATAGGTACCTGGGAGTTAGTCAGCTGTCACGGGTTGCTTCCTGGGGGGTGGAAGCCTGGTGGAGGACCGGGCCGCGGGGACACTAAAGCCCCGAAATCAAGGTAACTTCAAGAAGATACTCACATATGGGCACATGGGCATGGGCACGGGCTGGGCAGAGAGGATGACGTGCCTGAGGGTACCCGTCTCGTCCACGATCTGCTGCACGACGTGCCCCGGCGGCACCTGCACGGGCAGCGGTATGGGCGGCGACGAGTTCGTCGACACCATCCGCACACTGGCCGGACCTGCGGGACACAACCTCACTTAGTACCCTCCACCACAGGGGAACCATAGAGCCACACCTCAACCCCCCAGCAAGTACAATTAGATAAGTACATGGTCATCAATACCTCATCTCTACTCTTCTGCTAAACCCAACCTTAGCTAACACAAGGGAGAGAAGTAGGCATCCGTCAGTCTCAGTCATCCATCCAGTCATCCATTCATCCATCCAGTCATCCATCCATATTCTACCACACAATACACACAACACTTGTTTTACGTTATATAACGTCATAAATGTTATCCTAGGTCAGGTTTTAGAATGTTACTGGACTGGCCACCACTCACGGAGCGCTGCCCTCTACCTCTTTCTTGGTGTTAATTTTAATCACTGCCCCCCCCCCCCAAGATCACAGGCAGCTACCTCACACAATGAGGACTGTATTAACAACATACTACAGAAACCTCTTGAAGTTGCCCGCAAGGAATCTGGTCCTGGGAAGAATAGTCCATAATAAACTACCAAAACACACAATGCATTGCTAAAGTGACCCAATTATTACCTACAAAAAATAAATTAGAAGAGCTGAAATGATATATACAGGTTACACCTGGTGATATGGGGAATAATCATTGATTTCTAGATAGAACCAGTGAAGAGCAGAGGTGCCATAGACACAATCAGAGAACACTGTATAAACATCAGAGGTCCGCGGTTGTTCAACGTCCTCCCAGCGACTATAAGAAATATTGCCGGAACAACCGTGGACATCTTCAGGAGAAAACTAGATTGTTTTCTTCAAGGAGTGCCGGACCAACCGGGCTGTGATGGGTATGTGGCCCTGCGGGCCGCTCCAAGCAACAGCCTGGTGGAGCAATTAATATAGAGCACCTGGGCATATGAGGTTGTACCTTTGCCAGTAAAAACAAATACAATATGTGGGCGGGTCCCGCCTTGAGAAAATGCAGCCAATGACAAAGTGAAGGCGGGCGGGTGTTTGATGGCGCCCTCCTGGTCATGCATAGGAACTAGTTGAGGAGGAGCAGGCGGGCTCTGCCAGCCACACTTGGCGGGCTCACAGCACACTCAACTCTCGCATCATCACAACTGATAACTCCTCCAGTTCACAACTTCTGCAACCACATAACTTTACAACTTCTCCTCGGTCAATGACACAAACTTTAGGGTGTCAAGTTTCCGGGTTGGGTCAATGCCTGTGATAATGATACAACACTACAAGTCGGATACCGACTCCAAATATATTCCTGGGGTGTGTGTAACAAAAAGGAGGCCTGGTCGAGGACCGGGCCGCGGGGACGCTAAACTCCGTAATTATCTCAAGATAACCTCAAGATAACACCCACCTCCATAAATGCCTCCGTAGTGAGTGCGAGATGATATGCAGGAGATATCATCTTGCATCATCTGAATTGTATTACGTACAAAATAGCTAAGTTTACCAACCCCATCAATTGCATATGAAAAAAAATGGACTTAAAACGGCTAAATGCTAATCTACCTCCTCGAATTTCAGCAGCATCATGCCCTCAAATCCCCCGGGAAACTAAAACAAATTAAACCTTCAAATCTACATTTTTACACATCAATATTTAGAAAAAAAAATGTACTGAACTTCCATGTAATATACGCAATAATGTGCTTAAATACATAGTGACAATAGGGTGTGTGGAGGAGTGAGGCGAGGGGCACTAAACCCACCACCTTTACGCTACCTCAACTTCCATTCCGGCATCGCCCTGCTAATTGAAAGTCTCCCTTACCAGCACCACCGCCCGGCCGACCTTGAGGCTAGTCGCACGCCCTCTCACATCACCGGAGGAAGCGGAACATTTGTGGTGGTGCCCGGAGAAATTGACAACGTATCAATGAGTAAATCAGTAGGGGGCCGTGATAAGGATTCGAACCCATGTTCTGGCTACTCGCTATAAGCACACGGCTTCAAGATATTTAGGACACAACATGGTCAACTTGAGGTGGTACTCTACTCTATAGATTTTAGGGAAATAAACACGACTCCCCCGTGTGTGGCGGGCCGTACCTCCATTCATGAAAGGAGCAGCGTGTTGTGTGGTCATTTAAGCATACTATGTTGGTGCTTGCATGCTTGCAAGAGCTGCCGCGTGACGCTGCGTGACACCCCGTGACACGCACCTTCCTGCGCCACACACACTGCTCCACACACCTGAGGGTCACGACCGCTCACAACCTCTCCCGCACATCACCACTTCTGGACCACACTTTGTATCAACTGGCAAAAGTGTCCCGGTGTTCTCTCACACAGTATTCTGAACCCTACTGGTAGCTATTGTCCCTACCCTATGTCTACTGGTCTGGTCGAACACACTCTTGCCCCTCACCAACACCCCAGCTCCCCCTCTCACCAACACCCCAGCCCCCTCTCACCAACACCCCAGCCCCCTCTCACCAACACCCCAGCCCCCTCTCACCAACACCCCAGCCCCCTCTCACCAACACCCCAGCCCCCCCCTCTCACCAACACCCCAGCCCCCCTCTCACCAACACCCCAGCCCCCCTCTCACCAACACCCCAGCCCCCCTCTCACCAACACCCCAGCCCCCCTCTCACCAACACCCCAGCCCCCTCTCACCAACACCCCAGCCCCCCTCTCACCAACACCCCAGCCCCCCTCTCACCAACACCCCAGCCCCCCTCTCACCAACACCCCAGCCCCCCTCTCACCAACACCCCAGCCCCCTCTCACCAACACCCCAGCCCCCCTCTCACCAACACCCCAGCCCCCCCTCTCACCAACACACCACCTAGGGATCACCATCACTTGACCTGCTTCAACAGCTCATCGCTGCACTTCCCCATGTTACAAGTACACTCTTGACATTCCTCACATGGTTCTACTTTACTGCCCCCATTCATGCCCACAATCTAATGTGGCTAACAACCTGTTTGCTCTGCAAAATAGTCGTTTACATCTTTTAATACACCCGAAACCAAGTGGAAAATTAGTTAAATAACCTTAAGATAAAGTCCCTTATAACAATGGCAACCACGACGAGGTTCTAAAGTCAGGCAACTGCCAGTGACAATGTTCACTTCTTTCCGTACCAGCGCTGTCAGCTTGTGCAGTAACACGCAGGCTACGTCAACACTTGTCAGTGATGCAACACCCAGGCTACGTCAACACTTGTCAGTGATGCAACACCCAGGCTACGTCAACACTTGTCAGTGATGCAACACCCAGGCCACGTCAACACTTGTCAGTGATGCAACACCCAGGCCACGTCAACACTTGTCAGTGATGCAACACCCAGGCCACGTCAACACTTGTCAGTGATGCAACACCCAGGCCACGTCAACACTTGTCAGTGATGCAACACCCAGGCCACGTCAACACTTGTCAGTGATGCAACACCCAGGCCACGTCAACACTTGTCAGTGATGCAACACCCAGGCCACGTCAACACTTAACTGAACACCTGCCACATCTCTGACACCCAAGTCAAACACCCGTCACATGTGGTCCACAACACTCCAGCTTGCCTACCCGTATCCACCAGGCCTCAAGTGAGCAATTATCCAAAGGCGGCGCCAAGCCGAGGAGACAATGTAACAGGAAAGTGGAGGAGTGTAGTAGACAAGAGCAGGGAAGGGAAGGTGGGAGAGCAACAATGGACCAAGGAACGAGGGCAGGAAAGCCGCGTGAGTGTTGCTTAACCATCGCTAACTATAACCTCTACTGACTGCAAGAAGTGCTTCTAACGTCTTGCTTGATACCTGCTTGTGGGCGGTCCGGAGCTAGCGTTGGAAGAATCATGATACCTGGTTGATGCGTTGGTCATGATACTGGTTGAGTTCTGGGAGTTCTACTCCCCAAGCCCGGTCCGAGGCCAGGCTTGACTTGTGAGAGTTTGGTCCACCAGGCTGTTGCTTGGAGCGGCCCGGCGCAGGCCCACATCCACCAGGCTGTTGCTTGGAGCGGCCCGGCGCAGGCCCACATACCCACCACAGCCCGGCCCGAGGCCAGGCTTGACTTGTGAGAGTTTGGTCCACCAGGCTGTTGCTTGGAGCGGCCCGGCGCAGGCCCACATACCCACCACAGCCCGGCCCGAGGCCAGGCTTGACTTGTGAGAGTTTGGTCCACCAGGCTGTTGCTTGGAGCGGCCCGGCGCAGGCCCACATACCCACCACAGCCCGGCCCGAGGCCAGGCTTGACTTGTGAGAGTTTGGTCCACCAGGCTGTTGCTTGGAGCGGCCCGGCGCAGGCCCACATACCCACCACAGCCCGGCCCGAGGCCAGGCTTGACTTGTGAGAGTTTGGTCCACCAGGCTGTTGCTTGGAGCGGCCCGGCGCAGGCCCACATACCCACCACAGCCCGGCCCGAGGCCAGGCTTGACTTGTGAGAGTTTGGTCCACCAGGCTGTTGCTTGGAGCGGCCCGGCGCAGGCCCACATACCCACCACAGCCCGGCCCGAGGCCAGGCTTGACTTGTGAGAGTTTGGTCCACCAGGCTGTTGCTTGGAGCGGCCCGGCGCAGGCCCACATACCCACCACAGCCCGGCCCGAGGCCAGGCTTGACTTGTGAGAGTTTGGTCCACCAGGCTGTTGCTTGGAGCGGCCCGGCCCGCAGGCCCACATACCCACCACAGCCCGGCCCGAGGCCAGCCATGACTTGTGAGAGTTTGGTCCACCAGGCTGTTGCTAGGAGCGGCCCGCAGGCCCACATACCCACCACAGCCCGGCCCGAGGCCAGCCATGACTTGTGAGAGTTTGGTCCACCAGGCTGTTGCTAGGAGCGGCCCGGCGCAGGCCCACATACCCACCACAGCCCGGCCCGAGGCCAGCCATGACTTGTGAGAGTTTGGTCCACCAGGCTGTTGCTAGGAGCGGCCCGGCGCAGGCCCACATACCCACCACAGCCCGGCCCGAGGCCAGGCTTGACTTGTGAGAGTTTGGTCCACCAGGCTGTTGCTAGGAGCGGCCCGGCGCAGGCCCACATACCCACCACAGCCCGGCCCGAGGCCAGC